CCTGTAAAAACGCATATTCGGTGAATATGTCTTTTTATGGGTCCGTTTTGCAGGGTCTGAGTGTAACCTCGCCCGCGCCGGCCTGCATATGCCCTTTTCCGCGAACTGCAAAACACATATGCGGGTTTGCATTTTACGGGGTCTGCTAGAGATGCTCTTACAGGGCAAAGTGCATGGAAATCTACAATATCTATGCTTATGAAATAATCCAACAAGAAATGCAGAACAGAGTAGCATCTGCAAAATGTATATTCATAACAGAGTTCGCTGCACATCACTGCAAAACAGCGAATCAAGTAGGAAAACGGAATCAGGCCTTCTACATCAAATAGGCAATGGAGGCCTGACATGTATATTGGGGATTACTCTGGAGGCAGTGGAAGGTCAGGATTAACTCAGCGCCATCTCTCCCTGAAGGAGCGGGTTAGCATCAACAACGACGCCAAGACGATGCTAGATGAATGATCTATGTTGTTGTTTTCCTCCTGACTAGTTTGACTGGTTTTACCGAAAAAGGCTATCGCCCCGCTTTATAGATAAAGCCAACTGCTAGAGCCACACATGATACAAAGGTTCACGCAACACACACACACACATTGTCTTATTCCTTTTGTAATAACAATGTAAAACCGGAAAATACAAAAAATATTAGTGCAAGGCAAAAGTACCAGGAATCTTGATTAGCTATGCATGCAACAATCCAACAACGATTGTGATGCACTACCAGCAGCACCACCAGTAGCACCACCAAGGATTGTGATGCATAATACAATAGATTGCAACAGCAAAAGAATATTATTTGTGTTTACAATCACATCACCCTGCAAAATAATTACCAGCAACAGTTGAGCTTTAGTAGTAGCGCTTTGCCAGGAAGCTCTTGAGCCACAATACTCGGTGCTCCTCGTACAAACTCATATATTGACTGCCCTGGAACTTGTCGTCCAGCAAATGAGACACGACAACTCTCAAAGCTTCCTCTGTGAAGCCAGGCGTGTTCATCACAGCACCTAGCACCGCCTCCGGATGCACATCCCAAATAGTCAAAATACCATGAATGGGGTCTGCCCTTAATGATGATGGGGCGACCTGAACAACAGAAACAGTACAATCAGAAGAAATGAGCACAGTTACAACCAGAATTCATTTGTTCTTAGATGAACATACAAGACACTGACTCATGCCATGTGTATATATATTCGCGGATAAAGAAAGATCAGGGAATGGCGGGCACACATACCTCCGTGATGTGCGCAAGCTTCCTCTTGTTCTCCTTTGATTTACACCATTCCACTAATGGGGGGCAGTCATAAATGATTAGACGCTCAAGCTTGAACAATTGTTGTATGCTGTCTGGCAAAGACCTGATACCATTGCACTTCCTAAGCTCAAATCTCTTGAGAGAGGGAAGTTGCCCTAACCGCTCTGGTAGTGCCATGCCTGCACACCCACACAGAGTGAGTTGCTCAAGAGATGTCAGCTCAACCAACCATATCGGCAGTTCTGCCTGGTCGAGGCGCAATGATTCGAGGGGGGAGAGGCTGTGGATGATCTCAGGTGAGGTGGTCAGATCAGTGCAACCGGTGATGGTTAAGTCACGGAGGGCAGGGAGGTGGTGAAGCAATCTCCACTCATGCATGGGCACCTTGCTTTCAGCAACATTCAGCTCAGTTAATGGAGAAGAGGAGGATGAAGCACCGCTTTGTGAAGAGCTCTCTCCCCATGATGATAGCATAGTATCACAACCTCGTATGTACAAATACTTAGCTCTAGGCAGACACGGTTTTATCCTCAGCTTACCACATTGCTGTATCCACAAACTTTGAAGCTTAGGGAACATGAGCTCATTTGAACCTTCCTTGCCACTGTAATGTGCCATGTTCCACTCTTCCAAGCCATCCATACGGTAGAGATTCAGGGCTTGTAAGTTTGGTAGTTGACCGAGTGGTGGTAGGTCATTGCAGTTAGGAAAATTCCACAAATCCAACTTGCAAAGATTAGGGAGATACTGCCCAATATCCATAAGCCAACCAGTTAAGCTCACACTCATGTAACCAGTTATGCACAATCTCTGTAATCTGCTTGGTGGCACTAGTTTTTCCAACACCTCCTTGTCACCCACAAACCTCCCAGCAGCTAATGTCCATTGAAATTTTAGCACTTCAATTTCTTGTTTCTCGATCAGTTCCATATTGCGTGCCTCTTCTGCAGACTTCACATTTTCAAGTCTATCGAGCGTCAGCTCTCCAGGATTTGCAGGGTGAAGACGGCTTATATAGCTACTACATAGCTTGTCTATCCTTGATCCACTTACAGTATCTAGACTGTTGGTTGTCTCCTCAACGCTCACTTCTCCATCACTTGGCCTCTTACGTTTATTGCCTATCCTTGATACGCTCACAGTATCTAATTGGCTTTTTGTTGTCTCCTCAACGCTCTCTGCCATGTCTCGTTCGTATATGTATCTGTCGACCTGAAAAATAGAAACAATATAATCAGAACAAGAGAGCGAACAGAACTGTTTTCTACTTAGGTGAATATTTGGTGGAAGTGTTGTGTATTCTACACAGTAATCTCGAAACATGAGGTGTCAAATACAGGAAAAAAGTTATAGAAACCCAATTCAACACTTAACATGATTATCCACACCATGTGTATATATATTTGCGGATAATGAAAGAGTAGGCACTACAAGAATAAAAGCAATACAAGAGATAGCTTAGCGCGCACACATACCTCCCCTCTGATGTGATCAAGATTCATGGTGTTCTCCTCTGAACTAAGTGTGTTCTCCTCTGAGTAATGTGGGGCAGCCATGAATGCGCAGACATACAAGCCTGGTTAGTTGTTGGATGCTGTCCGGCAAATACCTGATCCCCTTGCAGGAGTTGATATCGAGTAACTTGAGAGAGGCAAGCTCTCCTAACCACTCTGGTAGTATCATGCTTGCACAGCAATACAAACTTAGTTCGTACAGAGATGTCAGCTCAACCAACCATCTCGGCAGTTCTGCCTGGAACAAATTATGGAGGTGCAGTTGTGTGAGGGAAGAGAGGCTGTGGATGATCTGAGATGAGGTGGTCAGATCACTGCAACCGCTGATAGTTAAGCTACGAAGGGCAGGGAGGTGGTGAAGCAACCTCCACTGATGCATGGGCACCTTGCTTTCAGCAACATTCAGCCGAGTTAATGGAGAAGAGGAGGAAGTACAGCTGGGCGAAGAGCTCTCTCCCCATGATGATAGCATATTGTCACAATCTTCTATGTACAAAGTCAAACACTTAGCTCTAGGCAGACACGGTTTTATCCTCAGCTTGGAACATTGTTCTATAAACAATCTTTGAAGCTTAGGGAACATGAGATCATTGGCACCTTCCTCGCCACTGTAATGTGTCGTGTTCCACTCTTCCAAGCCCTCCATACGGCTGAGGTTCAGCTCTTCTAAGTTTGGTACTTGACCAAGTGGTGGTAGCTTGTTGCACACAGGAAAATCACATAGGCTCAAAGTCTTTAGCTTAGGGAATATAAGCCCATTAAAACCTTGCTCGCCACTCGTATATGGCATACTCAACTCTTCCAAACGTTCCATACGGCTGATATACACTGAACAGAGGTTTGGTAGTTGGCCCAGTGGTGGTAGCTTGTTGCACTTAGGAAAATCACATAGATGTATCTCCAAAAGATTAGGGAGATACTGCGTAATGTCCATAAGCCAATAAGGTTAGCTGACACTTCCGTAACCAACTATAGTCAATCTCTGTACACTGCTTGGTGGCACTAGTTTTTCCAACACCTCCTTGTCATCCACAAGCCTCTCAGCACCAAGGGTCCACTGAAACGTTAGCTCTTTCATTTTTTGTTTCTCTATCAGTTTTACACTCCTTGCCTCTTCTGCAGACTTCACATTTTCAAGTCTATCTATCTTCAGCACATAAGGATTTATAGGCTGAAGATGAATGATATTGCTGCTGCATTTATCACTAGAAGCATGCACCACAAAGTGTGGCAATGAGGCAACATTGAACGAAGAGACCGCCAATTCATCCACATGTAGAACCTTCAGATTAACCATTTTAACCATACTATCAGGAAGCTTCTTTAGGTACCAGCACCTTGAGAGGTCCAATGTATGAAGCTTCCTGAGGTTGCCAATACTTTCTGGTATACTAGAAAGCTCTATGTCAGACAAGTCAAGATGCTCTAGACTAGAAAGTGTGCAGATAGAGCCAATCAATATGTCAATTTGATCTGATGTGGCCCAGCAGCTCGATAGATTTAGATATCTGAGTTTGGTTAGGTTACGAATGACCTCTGACAGGCTTCTGAAGTCCATAATAGTTTGTCTTGCTAAATTCAAATGTTGAAGTTTGGTGAACCCACCAATAGCTTCTGGTGTAGATAGTCGGCAAGATGATAAATCCAGATGCACCAACTGCTTCAGCTCCACGAAGGATACTGGAAGTTCACGAATCTCAGAGCAACCCGATAAATCAAGATGCATCAGAGCTTTCATATCACCAATTGACCCCGGCAATGCTGAGATACTATGAGAGTCTCTAAGGTTGAGGTAATTTAATTCTGAGAGCTCTGTGATACAATCAGGAATCATCTCATCTTTTATCCGTGGAGCATGAAGAAACTTCAGCTGCTTTAGTTGACCAATACAATCAGGTAACTTCCGAATAAAGCATTCACTTAAATCCAAGATACGGAGGCACTTAGCTGGTGAAAATGCATCACCACAAAGTTCTTGTTTGCCACAGTCACAAAACTGTAGCGCCTTTATATTTGCAGGAAATGTCACAAAGCACTGCAGTGGCTTGCTACAATCTGTGACCAATGCGTATCGACATTTGTTTCCCCCAGCATCAATTTGATGGGCCAAGATCTCTTTTGCGAGATCATGCACAAGGTCATGCATCGTGAACCATGTAACATATTTGTCTTGCTCTTCATCGCACTGCATCAAAAAAACACCTAATGATGTTCGAAATTTGAATTTATTTCGTTTTATAGTAGTATTTTTTCAATGGAAGTACTGCCATATACTAACAGTAGAAAAGTGTAAACAGAGTAGTATCAAGTACTGCCATATACTTTCATACCATTGATTTGGAACAATATTTTAACATTTTGAGTATAGCCCCAACTAGGATAGGTTATCTAAAGATCATTCAGTGGCTAAAGTTGTGTCTAGGAGATCATTGATTGGTTGAGCAAGAACAAGGTCAAAGCTAAATCCATACTAAACAAACAATAATGCAGAACAAGTTCAAGGGATGCTTCGGCCCACCCCCTCCACCCTACAGAAACCTAAAATTGGTAGTTTAATCCTATATGTTGGGGCCCCACCTGTCATAAACAAGCTTAAGGAGGTTCGTTCTTCTCCCCCTCTCGCGACCGCGCTGCCCCCGCGGGCGGCCGGCCGCGCCCCGATCTCTCCCCCCTCCAGCCCCCCCTCTCCCCTTCTCCCGGCCGCCGTCGCTGGCGCCCGCGGCCGGCCTGGCCCCGGGGTCGCTGGTGGCGGCGGCCCCCTGCCTTTCCCCTCCCGGTGGCTCTCCGGCGCGGGGCGGAGCTGCGCCGGGGAGGTGCTCCTCGGCGGCGACGGTCTTGCTGGCGGCGGGGTGCCTCGTCGCAGGGTGGGCGAGCGGCTGGACGGCGGCGGCGTCGTTGGCGGCGGGGTGGCGCTGCAGCACGTCCTGGCGGCGGAGTTCGGCCCAGATCTAGGCCCTACGGGGCCCATCTGGTCTTGGCCAGGCCGGCGGCGGGGCGGGTCGGCGGCGTGATTCCCGAGCGGCGGGGGAGCGGCGTTGCGCGACGGGGGCTGGCGGTGCCGAAGCCAGCCTGCTGCAGCACTGCGGGCGGGGCCTAGCGGGCTCGTTTTGGGTCCGGCCGGGCCAGGGGTGGCCTGGTTTGCCCCGCTGCCGTGTCCGGTCGGCTACCACGACGGTGCCGGAGGCGTGGGCTTCTCGCACGACGGCGGTGGAGGTGGTTCCCTCCCGCTCGGCCTTGGTGCTGCTGCTCTCGGCGTGTGGCGCTTCTCTCCGGTCTTCTCGGCCTCGTGTTGGTGCTCGTAGCGAGACGGCGTGGGTGGCGGCGCAACCTCGATGGCGCACTGGGCGGTGGTTTGGTTGGTAGGCTCCGGATGTGCGGTGGTGTTTGGCGTGCGGGAGAAATCCTTGCCGGCTCGTCCGGCTCCGATGCGGTGACACCGGCGGGTGCCACCATTCCTTCTTGAAGGGTGTCGGTGGTAGCCATTCTACATTTCCCTCCGCGTACCGGGGGAAACCCTAGGACTCGTCCGGGCAGCAGCGTCGTCGACGTCGCATACCTTCTTGGAGGTGCTGCTTGGTACGCGGCAGTCGGAGCCTCGGGTTGTGGTGTGTGTCTCTGGAGGGCGTAGTGGTGGCGGGCCGTCCGCGCTTAGTCGAGCTGCCGTTGTTGGCATTTGTTTCTTCTTCCTTTCTTCTTTGGGCTTGTTGTGCTGCTCGCCCCAGCATCGCATTTGTACTGTTGGTTGGTGCTTTGGAATACAAAGCGGGGGGAAACCCTTTTTCGGTATCCTGTATGTTGAGCCATTGATTTGGTAATATTAACTAGAATTGGATGGGCAATGTAGCCAACCACCGCTGGCCTGATAATTTTGTACTTAGCTCCATATGAGAATTACTGACGTATTTCTTTGTAAGGTCGTGTATATATAACTAATAAATTGGTTGTATGCATCGCCCAGATGCAGAGGCCGGGGGTCTTCCTCCTATTAAAAAAATGTTGGAGTTAAACCCGACGTTGGTTTCTCCCGTACTTGTGTACGTATGTGTCCGACTAGGATACGTGACCTTCACCGAGTAGGACTTGTATTAGTTGGTAGGTTAGCTAGCTAATATAAATACTCATGTACCCCGTTGTAATCAGTACTACCAAGGCCAGATCAATCAATAAAAGTAAAAAGGCTCGACACGAGGCTGTTGCTATAACTCGGCGACTCCGCGTATTGTGTTCCGACGACTTGGTCTACGCTAGCTAGCTAGACACGAGAATCCATCCACGGTGCTTGCCTGCTTGTTTACTATTGTACGTGCGCGTCTCTGTCAAAGCAGCCGGAAGCAATCGGCCGTACCTTATACGTCGCTGCGTATTGTCAGAAAGTACTCGACAACAACGTAGTCAAGGTCGGGCCTGTGCCAACAAAAAATGAGATTAGGGTGGCACATCAGGCCAGCTCAAAACCATGAATTGAGCGGCAATTTTTTTCCACACCCACGCAAATACCCTGCTCATAAATTTGTTATCCATCTCCCAAGACATGCAGTGACCCATTGACCCTGATGTACAAATATGAAGTCTACACTGCAAAAGTATGTAGTTCATATTACTCGACCATGGGTCAAACATCATTTTCTACTTGGATTTATACTTTTGGGAGTTTAATCCTATATTGGGAGTTTCAGAGTGCAAATAAATTTTTGGCACAGCTACTACATGCAGTTGCATATTTCAAAATGCAAATTTAGCAACTGTGTGTTGTGTTAGTATGAGCACTAGAAAAATATTATAAAACAACCATACTTGTTATCTTTATCTGTAACAGATAAAAAAAGACCAAAATGGGGAAAACAGATTTATACATTTTATGTAGTTCACGAATATATACTTATTCACGAATGTACAGCATACATGTTTTTGAGTAATTTCCCAAAAATACATAATGTGTAATGTGCTCATATGCGCTATAATGCTTTTGCTCCAGGTGTCAAACATGAAGACAAACACTATGTGAGTTGGAATATACTCCTTCCGTCCCATAATGTAAGACGTTTTTTGACTCTAGGGTAGTGTCAAAAAACATCTTACATTATGAGACGGAGGGAGTAGAAGACAAAAGAATAGTAGAGTTATGTTGTAACTCACCGAAGATGTCTTTGAATATTCAAGGAAGGACATCCCCAAAAGTTGTGTTACATACTTCTCGCAGAGCTGCATAGTATCAAACATTTTAGATGGCTCAATGAATCCAAGAGCTATCCATTGGTGAATTAGATAATGCTTTGCTATATTGTGACCTTTTGGGAAGACTGCACAATAGGAAAAGCACAACTTCAACCAATCAGGCATACGGCTATAGCTTAGCAGCAAGGATGCAAGCACTTCATGATCTATTGATGATGGGTCCGCCGAAGTAGATAGATTCCAGATATAATTGTCTCTCACTGACTCCCATTCATCAGACGTCTTCCCCTTCAGAGTGTAGCCAAGTGATTGAGCCGCTAATGCCACACCTCCACACTTGGCTGCAATCTCCTTTCCTACACGCTTCAGTTGTTGCTTGTCGGATCGATCTTTAAAGGCAGTTTGCTGTTTTATTATTTTCCAGCAAAGTTTATCTGTTAAAGTGTCTAGCTTGTATGGCTCAGCTGCACGACAAATTTCCCTTGCAATGGCTTCATCTCTTGTGGTTACGATAACTGCCACCATGCTGCTCACAACAGGCCTTAGCATAGCCTTCAATTCTTTTAGCGTACGTGGATTCGTCTCCCACATGTCATCCAATACAATAAGAATCTTCTTACCAGCAAATAGCTCTTTGACCTTCTTACTTATTATTTGCTTACTAGTTACATGGCTCTCGTCTGATAGTTGTGATATAATAGAGTTGCCAATTTTGTTCAAATCAAGATTTTGGGACACATGGATCCACACCCGGGAGTAGCCTGTGAATCGAGAATCATTGAAAACCAACTGAGCAAGGGTTGTCTTGCCAATACCTCCAATGCCATATATTGGAAGGATGGTGGTCTTATTCTCTGGTGTGATACTCTCACATAGTGTAGCCACTATTTCCTGTGTTTCTTCAGTCCTCCCGATGATTAGTTCTTCTTCCACATCCGATATTGTTTCTCGTATGCCAGTAACTTGCTGTACATTAGAGCTATTGTCTGGCATAGAACTGGAATGCCGGTTTTCATTTGTTATATTTTCCAGTTCAGCTGCCATCTCCTTCAAGGTGTTAGCCATTGTATTGTTGGGATCAATTATTGGAGATGGGGCCACGTTTGCCAACTGCAACAACTTTTTATGTGTAAGTACATGGAAAGATCAGGAGAAATGACATCATCAAAGAATGGAATGGATATGCTTTTATTCAGTAAGCGAAGCGAGGTTTTGTTAAAATTTCTCTACACAAAGCATTCAAACCAGCACGAAAAACCTGTAATATATACCTAGTGAAAAGGACGTACATATTGGAGAAAACAATTCATTTCCTGAAATTAAAATTTTCAACATAACAGAATGGCCAAATGCAACACAACGAAACAGCTGAACATATTGGTTGTCTTCACCAAGCTGGACTTATTTGCGAGCTACCACCTCCGAGAGGCATTGAGGACAGTTGTCCGGCGAACAACATTTCCAGAAATACAGCAGGGGTTGTACCCAATTGGAAGTGGAGCACAGTTGAAAATCAAGGTTAGAAGAAGGGGTGCAAGAAAATTCAAATACAGTTGGTGTTACGTACAAAGACAAGGCTAGACGAATGGGTGCAAGGAAGTTCAAATATTTGCATGACCCCTGCGGATTTGACCCTACCTACACCCGGAGCCAATCCCCTAGCGGTCCTGCCACCACGCCGCAGAACACGACTTGGTCTTACGTACAAAGATTAGTTAATCTCTCTTTTCCTCTCACAGCTTCTAGAAGTTTTCCTTCCCCGGAAGAGCCAAACTACAACACTATCGGTCTCTGTGCCACAATTCCTTGTTCTTCCTACATCCCCATGGCGGCAGCGCCACCTCTTCCTTCGGGAGGCGCCACTTCTCTCCCCCACCGGATCAGTTTTCCTCCAGCAGAGCATTGCCGTCGATGCTGCCCTACCTCTCCTCTCTCACACCGCCGTCTTCGGCAATCACTGCTGCTGCCTATGATACTGCTCTAGGATTTTGCTGATGGAGCGGCAGTGCTTGACGGCAAAAAGATTGAACTTGCCGGAAGATCATGAGCAAAACACAATGCACGGACATGGTTGCTATTGCACAGGCCTTCTCCTTTATTTATAGCAAGCAAGTTACACTGATTCAATGAGCAACATTGTATGCTAATCTATCATGGGCTCGTGCTGATACAACTAGCTAGGACACAACTAAAACTCACTCACAGCATCCAAGTCAAACACAATATGGGAACCTTGTGTTTTCTAACTCAGACTCAGCTAGGCATGGAACTTTGGATTATTTCCAAGTCCAACAGCCTGGGCACCCTGGTCAAGTTATCCTCTGTCTATAAGGATGCCTCGGACGACACCGATGCCACCAGTCACTCTATTTTTTCCGTTCTTGGAATCGGAAAGAACTAAACTGAAGTTCCGTCTACATAGATTAAAAGGGTGAGGAATAAAAAAGTAGGATGCAACAAGTAAGCTTTGCATCCGAAAAACAAAATGACCTAGAAAGGAGGAGCTGCAAAATCTACAAGGGGTACTAGTCCATGTGTTGGCCCAGTACCGACGCCGAGTACTTTCCGGTGACGGCAACAACCGACGACGAACGACGACGAAGCAAACCAACACTGACGAACTCGACGAGTTGCTTTTACGCCGAGACGGACCGCAGGACAAAGCTAGCCTCCTGCTAGCAGCTCCTGATCGATCCACCAACCGCAGTGCAAAGCTAGCCCAAGCTAGCCGTCCTGCTCCTGATCGATTCTACGTGAAGCCGCAGCAAACAATACCAATGTATGTGTACGTACACAACGGCCAGCCGGCCGGAAGTACAAAACACGCACGCACACAAATCGCTGGTTTGATAGCCAAAGGCTCGTCTCGAGCCTTGTCTTTGCTTTATTGCTTTGCACAACTCACGGTTGTACAAAGAGTACAGGGGTACATGAGTATTTATATTAGCTAGCTAACCTGCCAACTAATCTAATCCTACTCGGTGAAGGATAGGAAAACTAACACGAACACGTACATGCACGTATTGCCGGACACGGACACGTCTTGTCGTGATTAATTCCAACAATCACCCCCCTAAACACGACATCGTCACGTTACAGCGCCGACGTCGATTCTTCTTTGCAGCCCCAAAAACTTCTCTCGATCCAAAGCCTTGGTCTGGATGTCCGCCAGCTGATCATCGGTGCAACCGTAGTTGACCTTCATCTTACCTTCTTCCATGCAATCCTTTGTATAGTGATATACCGTATCAATGTGCTTGCTCCTATCATGCCGCACTGGATCCTTGCATAGAAAATCCGTAGACTCACTGTCAACATTGAGGACCATCGGTTCCGGATCTCGATCCATGAAATCACCGTGTAGCCTTCCTAGCCACACACCTTGATACTCTGCTTCACTTGAAGTCGATGTCACCACTTTATACTTTGGTGATAGCCAGCTTACTATGCTTCCTCCAAGGAAATAAGCCACGCCCGAATTACTCTTACGACCGTCGACAATTCCTTCCTTGTCACTACCACTGTAGCCAAGTAGTTTCACCATCTCCTTCTTGCTCAGCTCAAGACGAGGTTTCATTGAAGCGACAATGTGATTGTAATCTTTCATGCCACGGCCTTCAAGTACCTTCCTTGCATATGCCTCCTGGCATAGTGTGATCCCCTCCGGCTTTTGATGTACCTCTGTCCCGAGGTTGCAACTCAAAAGGCCTAGATCATCCATCTTGAAAAGCTCCTTCATCTGTAGCTTGAACTTTGCAATCACCTCTTCATCTGCTCCAGTTATCAACAGATCGTCGACGTAGATGCCAACTAGTAGACGATCCCTTCCTTCACCTCTCTTGTACATCGCATGCTCTAGTGGGGCTTTCTCAAATCCAAGAGAAATTAATGTCTGATCAAGTTTGATGTTCCACGTCCGAGAGCCTTGTCGTAGCCCGTACAAGACTTTGTGTAGCTTCAGTACCTTGTGTTCCTCTCCCTCTTTGATGAATCCCGGTGGCTGATTCACATACACATCTCCTTCTAACTCGCCATTCAAAAACGCGGGTTTTACATCCATGTGATGTATCTTCCATGATTCCTGAACCGCGAGAGCGATGAGTAATTCCACCGATTTCACCTTTGCAACGGGAACGAACACTTCTTCGAAGTCCGCACCTTCCTCTTGCACGTACTCTTTGGCTACTAGCCTCGCTTTGTGCTTCACGGACCCATCGGCATCTTTCTTAATCATAAATTCCCACTTGAGATCCATGATTTTTTCATTGTCGGGAAGATCCACAAGCTCCCATATATTGTTGTCGTGGATCGACCTCAGCTCCTCTTCCATAACCTGACGCCAACACTCCTTTGTGTTCGCATCCTTAAAATCCGCC